TTGTCTGCCCACGGCTCCAGCATCCAACACTGTTGCAATTAAAGTCAACAAGCACATACTGTACTGTTGACTAAAGGTGCTTTAGCATGGGGATTCCAGGTTAATGTATTGATTATCTTCTGCATGGTAAATTGGATTTATTCCACATCATCAGTCTTGTTTATTTATTTATAATCACACTGTAATTTATCAAAAATGAAAGATTTCCTATCTGGCTGATGGGTGAGAGCGTTAGCTGTCAAAGTAATCAAACGTATTGTTTCATTTTGAAGTATAGAACCACTCTTTCTGATTTATGCAGCAAATCCTGTTAAACAATAAAGTAAATCTGAGAAAGCGCTGGAGATAAAAACAAACACAAAATGAGTCCTAGAAGAAAGAATAACAGACCTAAATGCGCAGCGCCGTGGGAATGCAACACTGGACCTGGCTTGTATGTCATACCAACTTAACAACAGCTTGCACTTCTTGAACATGTTACTTATTTATTTATTTGCTTGCTAGCCGGCCCTTCACCCACTTTCTTGTGCTCCTGCCAGCATCGACAAATACACAATACAAAGGAATGCTTGCTTTTGGAGCTGTATTATTTATTCATGATGCCCTGGAGTCTTCCTGTCCATCCGAGACATTGTTTTAGTGTTCCTGTCACTGTTTCTCTCACTGTTTCTCTACAGACGGTGTCACTGGTCTAACTACATCTCCAGATCACAAAAGGGAGGTAGTGGTGGATGTGTGTGGCATTTTTACGTGTGTGTGTGTGTGTGCATACATTACTGACATACTATCCTTTATAGTAATGTCTGCCTGCATTAGTGTGTGGTCTTTTGCTTTGGCATTACATTCCTCCAAAAGAAGTCCATATGATTAACATTCAAGGAAAACCAAAAGACGAAAAAACTGCCTTTTTTTCCCATAATGCATAAGACAAACAGCTACTTATTTTTTGATTTAAATTAAATCCTCAATATATTATGCATAAATCTTTATAAATCACTCTCATGGACACCAGAACACTCTGCTGAGCTTAACACAGAGCGTCAAGGTCCACACAGTAAGCTCTCTTCCTCCGGCGTTGATGAACACTAACGTACTCCACCTCCCCTTGGGTAGACCTGTCTGCATCATCTCATCAGAATCCCATACATCCATCCATCGCAGCATTACTAGAGTGTATGGCTGCGTGGGCGTAATAAAATGGTCTTATAGCAGAGAGGCTGTTTGATTGCTCCCCTGCAAGGCGGCTATTCACCTTAATGTATTATTCCCCTTGTAGTCTGCACTTTAAACCTGTCTCACACTGACAAGCGCGCATCACCCTGTGGGGTCAGCGAGGTCTCCCATCACTGTCCAACCACCTAGTCTGACTGACGCAAATCCTTTAGAATCGCCTGGTATGAACTTGAGCATGCGTCCCCTCTTGACACTTCCAGCATGTCTGCAGATCTCCAGTAACAATATCACCTATCGAATCAATCTCTGCATTGTATTTGAGGCCTATGGAAGCCATTGATCAGCGCTTTGATGTCACGGCCTTTCATAAATTGCGACCTTTTTAGTATTGGCAAGCCCCGTCACTTGGAGACAGTCGTGCTCGAGAGTCTCTCCAGTGGGCAGAGTGAGAGAGTGAGAGAGTGAGAGAGTGTGAGTGCGAGGCCAAGCAGCAGCGTCACAGGTGTCAATGCAGCTGCTCCTTATTGACAATTAGGCTCCTCTGGACCCCTGAAATGAAATGGGAGATGACAAGACCCTGTCTTTGATCCTGATCCTACACCTCATTCTGGAAATATGTAATTGTGGCTCCTCAAGGGGAATTCAGTTTTTTTATTAAAAAATAAAAAAGGCAATGCCTGGGTGGATGTTTTTAAGAGAGAGTTATGAAAAATATGAAGATGTGTACTGTAGTGTCACTCAATAGCCTTTCCCATATATTTAAAAAGAGACATCCAACAGGCAGTATTAAGTGTTTTATATTCTTGTGGGCCTTTCCAATGACATTAGGCCATCTCGTGCTATTCTATCCTCTCAGATGCTCCGAGCAGAATGGGTTTTCAGGAGAAGGCAGCAGTCAGAAGTGCTTTAGCTTGTTAAAATTGACCATAAACAGCTCATTGTTTTAAGAGGGCCAGACACGGTCATTTGATACCGGCACTAGACTGGCTTCTCGCCCTTAGCTATCCTGTTATTTCACTTTAGTAGTACACATGGGGTTATTGGCAGTATAAGGCTAGCTCACACTGCATGGGAAGGATGTGTGTATATGGTGTTCTTTTACACTCCGGGAAATGTTAAGAGCTCAAAACTCATGGTGGATGTTATTGTTACCGTGCATTATAACAACTTCATTTTGCTTTCATGCACATTAATGTCAGTTGTGTCAAAGATATTTTTTCTACATTGCCTTCTTCACTATTTGCATATGTCTTTGAAAGTGTTCTGGTAAAACAAATGAACTTAAAGCAGCATGGAGCAAAAAAACACGACTACTAAAAAATAAGTTGTTTGTTTGGATTAATGCATTTTTTTCTTCTGTGAAGATAAAATAGATGGTGCTTTCAGTACCCACCTGTCTCTTTCCACAGTGCGGCCCCCCACCCCCTCTCTCTGTTTCTCTCTTTCATATTCAGGCCGTCACCGGTGCGCCTGACGGCAGTCTGATGTGTTCTCAGCGTGCTCCTTTACATGCTCATGTCAGCGCAGTTGAATGAGTCACCCGAACTGACAGCAGATGGTGCTCTTTGGGTACAAGAGGCCTGATCCATCCGCTCAGCCCACTCTCTATGCAATCTATCATCATTCTCCTTCTCTGTCTTCTCCCCCAAGACCACTGAGGGGACTCTGGACCACCATCCTGTGTGCCATCATTTACCTTTGAGCAGGGGAATGTCAGCCTGCTCAGCCTTGGGCTTTCATCCAGGGAGCTGGAGAAAGCTAGTGGACGTGCAGTTTAGACAGGGATCCATGGGGCACTTCTTAATGATGTGGTTCAGTGATAAACCTGGGAAGACTGACTGGAAATTGTCTCCATGTGGTAAGGAAAGAAAAAAAGGGCACATTGCAGAGACTGCTGAAGGAAAGCACATTGAGAGGGGACCTGAAGTTCAGTGCTTTAAACTTTCAAACTTGTCTCATTTTCCAAATGTTTGCATTATAAGTGAATGAGAATTGGCTTTCCACAAGAGGGGCATCATTTTAACAAACCTTAAAGTGGTGTAGGCTAATTTCGAGAACATTGTAAATGAGGTAAACCCTATCGATCAGCACAGTGCAAATGTGCACATGAAGACACATTTTACTCTGGGAGTGTCTATAACGTTATATAAAGGCCATAATTAATTCCTTTGGAAACCTGATGTGTAGGATTTAGTTGTTCACAAGATCTCTGACCCATTTCTGCAATGCAAATGTTTTAATATGCCAGAGTGTTGCTAGGAGCCAATCAGGTATATTGCAATGATTAGATTAAAATCCGATTTTTCCGTCAACTCAGCAAAGCTGTATCGGTAGTCAATTAAGATCTGTCATAATGTGATGGAGGACAGTTTGAAATGATCCCCTGCTCTGCTAAATGTATGACAGGCTACTACTAAAAGGGTCACATCCGTGACCTTGATTCACCAGAGACTTTAAATACAAAATCTGCTGGTTTCAGCATATGCAATATTTCTGGTAGTCTCAGTGACACGTCAATGTGTGTCTGCAGGCGCCTGTGCAGACAGTTCTTTATACATTTCCCATTTTCCCACACAATAGAAATCAATGCAAAAGTAATTCACATATTCATTAAGAAAATATGTCCACAGTTCTAAACCTATTTGTGAATTAGCTGACAAATGATTCCCTTTCACATTAGTGTTTTGACTGAGCGGCAGGCAGTGGAATTCAGACTTGGACACTTTTTTCTTCACTCGGTTAATAGTCCTACTTAATACTCATCAATCATAGCAGTCAAAAAATATTGATTGCTGGCTAGATTAAATCAGAGTTATTCCACTGTGATGGCTATTACAAAGTACAGCTATTGCAGAGAAATAGTTCTTGATTTACTGTAAGGGAGGATCAGCTTCCTTAGTACTGAGCCGAGAGGTGTGTGTGTGTGTGTGTGTGTGTGTGTGTGTGTGTGTGTGTGTGTGTGTGTGTGTGTGTGTGTGTGTGTGTGTGTGTGTGTGTGTGACTGTGCGCGTGCATTTCAATCCAGCTGATACCATCTTTATGCAGTGTTTGGAAATGCATTTTCTTTCACCCCAGTGTGTATCTGCATTTCCATTTGCCACCTGGAGCTTTATTACAAAGTAACTATGCATAAGAATCAACTTTAGTACTTTGTTTTGTTTAGTGTTTTTGAGGGACCACATGAGGTGGAAGTTGCGCTGAGCGACTACATGTTTGCATAATGAGGATGACCCATGAGTGTGTGTCAGAGATGATGTCATCAGAAATACTTATGTTCGTATTACTAAGACAGTCATAACACCTGCGATACGTTGGTATTATCTGTATCACACACGTAAAAAATACACTTGGTGCTGAGAAACAATGATATCGTCCATCTACTACATTCTGTTCTCTGCCACACTGGCAGTATGGAACCACCACGCTCTGTTGGAGATGTACTGTCTCCCCCGTTTGACCTCTGTGTGCTTCATCACCAGGGACTTATGAATGCCCTGTGAGTAGCAGGCCTGTTCTCCACTGCAGTTGTGTGAGCTCCAGACAGGTGCTGCAGTGTGTGCCTCAGTGCACCCAAACAGCTGGGGCCGGTGATCAGCGCTCACTGGAGATGACATCACCTGACAAGTGTTCATCTGACTCATCTCCCGCTCTCTGGCTTCATCTCAGGCCCCTGACACATGCTTCACTTTAGAGGCACTGCAGGAAGAGGGGGGGGCTGGACAGGACAAGGGGCCGGGCCTTGGCTGCAGGCGCTAAGTTCAGTCATGCTGCTATACTTTGCCAAACCCATGTGAAAAGGAGGTGAGGTAAGAGGGCAGAGGCTGGTGATGGAGTCTCACTCATCATCACAAAGGTGCGATACTTTGCTTCAGTGCACCAATAGCCCTTTAATGGTCTCCTATTATACTATTTTTAGGCATATATTATAGGTCTCATATATATAAAAATGCATAAAAAAATGTTAATGAAGTGGTTTGATAAAAATACCAAACAGATTTTTAGCCATGCCTCATACCCCTCTATTTCAGCCCTGTAAGAGAAGGGCTCATTCTGTCCGTAGCTTTAAAAAAAAATAATAATAAAAAAAGGCAGGGGGGAGCTTGTGCCTGCTCAGAATTCTACCCAGATACAGCTAAATGCTGCCTTGATTAAATGCCATATCATGTTCCAAAGCACATCAAGGATTATTTCTGAAACAGCTCAAATGCTTTTTCTCTTGTGGGTTTACCACAAGGTGAGTTCCTTTTTTTATTTCCTGCTTTTTTACACATACTCTCTCCAGTACAGGTTAGCTCTGAGTGTTAGCAACACTTGCTAATGTAAACAAAGAACATATTACGTTCAAAACAGTCGCGCATTGTTTCTGATAGGGCCGTGGGTGTAAAGCCAGCCCACATTTCCGATATTACATCATATCGGCAGCAAATCTGGATCAGCTCCGTTGTTCCCCGTTTTTAGAGATTTGGGTACGGAGGAAAAGAGAGAGGGTTTTGTTTTCTGACACTTACAGCCCCACACACACGGCGGCGTGCGTTTAAGCTTCAACGCTTCTGCCCATTCACTTTGAATGGGGTGACGTCATGCTTCGCCAAACTGCATTATACCAAAAGTAGAGCAATGTTCTACTTTTGAAGCTTCGACGGAAGCGTCAGCCAGTCGAATCATATGCCAGTACAAGCTGTAGCCAATCAAACCGCTGCTTGTGTGTCCGGGGCGGGAGATTCATGTGATTGGTTGTTGGTCGAGCGTCAGACATGTCCGCCGGCAAGCTTCAACGCACGCCGCCGTGTGTAGGGGCCGTTAGTGAGTTCCCTGACATACCGGGGACACATATTTATGTATAAAAGACATAAGAAAGTGCATTTTGCATGATATGAGACCTTTAATTTCTTAAAAAGAATGCTTCACTCAAGGTTTCGTATTAGGGCGGTTAGGAAATAAATAAGCTGGACACAAAGGGCAATTAAACTAGAGGAGTCAAGAGTAGGAACTAGGCTATTCCACTTTAGTGTGTCGGGTTGTGAATCAGGGAAGATCCATCCCTGCCTAGGACATAAAACGGTGATCTCTTTAATTACCTAGCATAAAATCCACAGTATAATATTCTCACCCCAGTATTATACAGGACTGGAGTCGTATGATTCTCTGGAGGTGACTGTCTCTTAGCGTGGCAAGGGGAAAGATGAGGGTAATGTAAATGGATGGGCTCTTTTGTAGGTTGCTGTAAAAAGCAATCAATTAATTTGGTAATTTATACATTTCAGTGGAAGGTGAACTGGATGGAATATGTGATTCACCGTTAAACTGTCCGACTCATCATTCTTAACTTTAGATGGCTTTCCATGCACTGAGTCTCTGGTGAATGTGCTCTGCATTTTCAAAACACATTTGCAGCCGTAACCGAATCCCTACAGTACCTCTTTGTGATAAATAATAAAGGCTTTCAAAGAGAAATGATAGGATCCTGCGTATTTGAAAACATTTTTTTTTCACTTAGGTAGATATAAGTATAGCGAGTTGTGCTTTATGCATGTATACATATTCAGAGACACAAAAGGTGTATTGTCATGTGCACAATTGCCACAGCGTAGTTGATGGAAGTGAACATTTTAAGTCCCAGATCGTACCAACAGTGCAACATACAATATAGTTGGGACATCAAAATAAATAAAAATAGTGCAGTTAAAATACAGGAATAAGAACATTATCTATACGTAAGATGGAATAAGATAAAACAGAATATGCAATTAAAAATGATACAGTAGAATAAATAATGTATCATAGACAGAACAGTGTATTATAAACATGTGTGAGTGGTAAGCTCAGGAGTCTGAAGATAAATGTTACGGTAATCATGTTTACGATAAAGATGGTGATGCCTTATAGAATCATAGTGGAGGTGTTGTTATTGCATTGGTTCCTCAGCCTCTGATAAGTGCATGCTGGTGCTGCGCGAAAAGCATTACATCATCCTGCTCCTTCCCGGCAAAGTGAGCCATAGCGCGATGAGATCAGAGCCCCCTTGTTATCCCAGTAGCAGAGCAGACTGCTGCAGGACCTTTTAAAGGATCCTCTCCCTACAGTCAGGAAAACATTTGAGACGCTGTATGTCTGCAGCCCACACAACTCCAAAAAACACCTCAGCTCAGGATCATCCACAGGTGAGCCTCTATTTCAGGTGCAGAGCAGAGAAAATCTGTAGAAGGCTTTAACTACACGCACATACAAAGATAGTCACAACAAGTATAAACAGACGCTTGGAAACTCACAAATCCCCCAAAACACCCCATGGTGTTTGCTGTGTGATCATAGAGCATACAAATCATTTGCTACATCAAAGACTCTTTTGTAACAAAGAGAGCTTATTCACTTCTTTTTATATCTTTCGGAATTACTCCCAGTTTTACTGCAAATGCAGACAGAAGAGTTTAATTTATTGCTTGGATTCACTTTGTTGTGAAATAAAAACAGCCTCCTAGCCTGGTTCCTAATGAAGATTTAGCTATATCAGATGTATGTTAGTCTGAGCACTGGTCTGTGTCCTTCCCCTCTGGGTCACCAAGTGCTCTGCTGCCATTTGGGATTCCGGCATATGAAGATGAATGGATAGATGATCTGATTTTTGCGGACCTAGGTGACTCTTGCCCCGGCTTCAGTTACACCATCTCCGCCCTCTGGCTGTCCTCCCCACACCCCCTTCTCCCATTCTGGTTATCCTGTCTGTGACACCGTAATGATGACAAAGACTAACCAGTAAACAGCAGCACCCAGCACCATAGAGAACCCCCCTTTATGGCGCAATGAAAGTGAGGGATGAAGCACGGTTGTCATCCAGGGGAGCGCCAGCAAATCACCACAATAGTCAGGCGGTGGAGTGGAGATGACCGTGGTGGCGCTGGCATTGACTTGAGTTGTTTGTCAACATTCAGTCTATCTGTCAGTGTAACGCAGTGCAACAAATTAGCTCCTGCCACCAATTTCTGTCTGAGGCCTAGTGCTTCAAAAAGATAACTGTGTCACGGCTCATGTGAGCTAAGAGCATCCTCACACCCTTAGTGCAACTTTAACACCTTAATAAATAATAAGAATACATTTATTTCATTCATCATTTGACCTTTATGTCCTGATAAGCTGGTTCTTCATACCTGTTGATCTTTTTTCACACTCCACAGCGAGGATAGATTTCAATGTAGTCTGACAGCTTGCAGATAACCATTTATGTTTCTCTCTCATGCCCCAGTCGCCCATGCCTTCTTCTCCTCTTTGTTGCCCGTCCCATGCCAAGTTTCAGCAGATGTGAGAACACAGGGATCAGAGACTTAAAGAGATATATTGTTAAACACACACCCGTCACGCATGCTGCCTTTCAAAGACTCCTTTTAACTAGATTAACATGTTGCCAGCACTCTGAACAGTACTTGCATACTTTTCTTCTGTGGGCAAAGGGAGCAGGCGACACTAAAATGACCTCATACAAACTGGCATGTCAACACTGTGCTTAATACTCTGCATGTATGCACACAAGATAGGCACACAGAAACACACACAATCTTGTTATTTCTACATGCGCATGAAATCAGCGCTCAGACACTGTGGCCACGCTTGCAGTTGTCCCTTTTCACTGCTTTAACTATTGTCGAGTAAAGCGCCATTGTGAGCCCAAAAAGGATTAGAAAGCAGGGAATAAAGAGCAAGCTGCACACATTTTCAAACTCCTTTAAGAAGCTGCCCACAGTGATACAATACGCTATTGCCGGTACACAATGAGAGTGGGAGCTTTGGGGGGGTAGATGTAATCCCTCAGGTCACCAGTTACACATGGTAAGACATTCTTAAACACACACATACTCAACCTTGCGTTTTGTAGTTCGGATGTGTGTGATTAAATCTGTATTGTCAAGCGCAGGGTGGCACATAGTTATCAATATTAATCATCAGTAGAGCATATGGTCCTCAATCACGGCTTGATTAATCAATATATTGACATGATCACACCTGCGCAAGATAAATCACCCGTGAACATGAGCTTGTTGTGCAGTTCATTCAATATACATGAGAGAATCATTCAGGAGGTAACATCCCCGTGGTACAGCTGAGGACGGCCTGAAGGTGATGCAGCATGTAGGCAGTGCATTCATTTTACCTCCCACCACATGCACTGGAGGAGTCACGCGCACACACACACATGCAGCACAGGAGACAGACGGTGGAAATGCATGTTCCTCTCTGATGACATCACCGTCTTGGTTAGGTAGCTGGGGCATTTTCCATAGGCTGTCCTCTGTTGCTGTGGAGAGACCTGCACCAATCCCCTCCCCTTCCTCCTTAATGTATACAATTCCGGCTCCATGAATGATCTGTGACAGTGCTTCCTTGGGCTGATCCAAAGACAACATTATGTGAGCGTTCAGAACCCACCCACTTCACAAACCCGCCCACTTCACAAACCCGCCCACTTCACAAACCCCTCTTTCAGCTTTGGGATCACCTGATGCGAGGTGTTTAGGGCTATTTGTCGCGTGCTGTGTGAGCAGAATACTGAGCGGGCCCCATGAGGGTCTGATATGACATGTGACAGCCCCCATCATCTGAGGGTGTGTATGTTAAATAAGCATTTCCATTTAACTCGGTTTCTCGGTCCTGGCTTGTACATATAATAAAGGTATTCCGCATGTCGATTTGTTTTGGGATCTAAAGCATGATACAGTAAACATTGAATGCAGCGGCCTGGAAAGCAATTGACGACCTTTGTATACAGTCTGTGATTTAACACTGAACAGAGTTCATAGGAAAATCCAGGCCGAGAACTGCTGACAACACTGTCTCTTACTCTAGCCTCTGCTGTCCATGAAATGTGCATGCGATAAATCTCTGGCTGTTTTGCTCAATACCCATACCTGAAGATCTATACCTGTCTAGAAATGTCTTTCTACCCCCCCTTGTCTCAATAGCCATGTCCCTTGGTAGACATTTAAGGCGTGGGCAGCTAAAGGATTCTTTCTCCAGGGCTTTCGGAGAAGAAAGAGTTCAAGAGGTCAGAGATATGTGTTATTTTCCCACCAGTGCAACTCTCGGGATGTGTCAGAGCCATGTGTCAGGGAATGACAGCGAAAAGAAAGACGGCAGGAGAGGTAGATCTGGCAGACAAAGGCCATACTTCACAGAGGAAGCTTGAGATCAATGGATCGGCAGGCTGTGCACCCCGTGCTCACAAACACACTTACACACTCTAACAAACACACAATGCTGCAGTTTGATGCTAAAATGGATCCCGTCAGTAACCTTGAGAGAGACGTATGATAAACACATGGAAAGGCAGACGGAAACACACTCAATTGAAACACTTCCACCTCCATACCTCGCTGGGTATTCCTCAACAGTCCCCCTCCCGAAGCTTGTCATCTTGACGAATGGATCTGGGTAACTGTCAATTAAAATGAAATCCCCATCTGTGGAGTAGAATGAGGGCACATTCAATGAAACATACACACTACAGTAGTGGAGACCAGTCTAAGCTCCTGCCCAGAGACGGGTTGATCCACACGCTGGGCTTCATATGGGCAATACATCAAACAGACAACATTATCACTGACTACACCTCTGAAAACGTCAACATGATTAATTATAATTAATTAGTAAAATGCTATGTGTTGGCTAATCCATCATATTTGCATTATTTGCGATCCATCATCAAAATGTAGCCAGCAGCAGGCTTCCTGTTTTTATTTTATTTATTATAATAATTTAGCAGCATAGTGCTAAATCAGCAAGTTGCATTTTCACTCACTCCCTCGAGATGATTCCAGACAGTCGTTCGTAAACAATTTAGTTTCGGTCTTTGTGGAATTCTAACTCGGACTGAATTAATCTGTTTTTAATGTTTGTGTGTTAGTGTGTGTATGTGGCTGCTAATTCATTTTAAAGCACATTAGTCATTTATATTGATCACTGATTGACATCTTGTAACCTTGCCGAGTAAGGTGCACATGTCAATTTGTGCAGTTTAATAAAGTAAAGCATTTGCATGCCTCAAATAGTATTTTGAAGACTGTTTTAACTATGAAAAGGTAAGCAACTACTATTAAGCTTTCTAAGTATTTTTTAAAGCATTGTATAAGCTTATACATTACCATGCAGTCTTATTTAAGTAGTCTTTGTTTGAAGTGGAATAACAACTAAACACTACTTACAATCTCAGCCAATCCCAGTTATGCAAAATCATCACTCTATGATTGAGACCAAAAGTGGTGGTGAAAGTCAGTGTGCAAGCCTCATTACCCCAATTAATGGCAATTCTTATTGCATAAGCAAAACTCATCTGAGGGTAGGAGTCAATACCTTTGTCATGGTTATGATAATGGCTTAAATGCTCATCTGTAGTGATATTCACAGGGAGAACTTTGCTGCTTGACACTGAAGGACATCAATGCTGCAATATAGGTAATTAAAATGAGTGCATCTCGGCCATTGCAATTAAACAGGGAAAAGTGTGTCAGGGTCTGTGTATGATTTGTGTCATTAATTTTCATTACGACTGTTTATTAACCTTTTTATCTCATGTGGTCCTGATGGTAGTCCGCTTTGTGTATTCCATGGTTGTGTGTGTGTTTGTGTGTCTCCTGGTATTTTTCACACCGCCTACAGAAGGTTTCGATCATGGGAAATTTCATGTGCGGTCCAGGGAACTGTAAATGTTCGTGTTTTTAATACACAGAGCATTCATCAGCGGCAGGAAACTGCACCGCATTAGCAGGCGGTCCAATGAAGGAAATATTATGGCTCCTAATTAAATTTGAAATTAAGTGATATTTCATTTCTTCTCATTAATTAGAAAAGAGGTCTTCTGTGATATAATTATTTATTTCTAGAAATAGGAGAGGACAATCGTAATCCTCTCATGGCAGGTGTTATTACACATTAGGTGAGGTGATGGTATGAATACATTTGAGATATATTTGTTGCGGATTGTTAGTTCCTTGTCTTCTCCATTCTTGTTTTATGGGAAGTTCAAGAGATTTTCAGACCTCAAGGCCAGCTAGGTGTATTGTGGGTATTACCAAACGTCAGGCTGATAACGTCAAAGCTGCGATCCTGTGATTCAGTAGCGTATAGGACAAAAACACAATTGAAGGGGATCTGTAAGATGGCACTCGCATTAATCAGGCTATAATGATATTAAACTACTTCCTTTTTGTGCATCTGGGGGGAACAAGTGTTGCTCAATGGTGATCACTATCTAAGCTTAAACCTGTTAAAGATGCATAGAGGTATGGATAGTGCTGGTAAGGGATTAAGAACACAATCTCTCATTCTGGCCCAATACATTCTTGGTAATGTCAAGAGGGGATACGGAGAATAAATACCTTTGCCCAGATACATGGATACCAATGCCACCCGAGTCACCTGGTCTTAACTTTGATCAGTAATTTTCGAGTAACGAGATTTCTCTGATTTCATTAAATAGTCATTTCGCACCTGGAAGCCCAAGGCTTTGCCGAGAGATCAATGATCTAATCACGTTACCGTTAAGCCAATTGGCTTGAAAGTCCTTTGTGATATCCCTTTACTGTTTTAATGACTTAGTTCAGATTAAACAGGTTTTAGGAGCTAGGGATTAAGGGACACATCCATTGAGGTGGAAAAAGCTTTTTCTGATGCATAATTTATTGCAAAGAAAGGAAAAGGATTAACGAGGGCCATGTGCCCGCCACTCAACATCCACCGGTCAGTGATTAGAACGGATGCCTCGGGACAGGGGTGACATCACTGGCCTTGAGAAAATGATTAATATCTTATTTTCTTCCCTTCCGTAGTAAAAAAAAATACGAAACACCATTCATATTTGTGCTTAAAGTGTTTTGGAGCTACTGTTATCCACTCTTGGTTAATGACTCACAACTTCCTCTTCACAAAGCAGCGAGGGCTGTGTTCAAACCCTTATGAGTCAACATCATTAACCAGCATCCCCAAACAATGATTTACCAACCAGATACAGTGGTGGGTGATGATTGCCTGACTCAGTGAGAGATCCGCAACATCTAATTTGCACAATTAGTTTTATTAGTCACATACCTAACTTACCTGATGGCCGCCTAAGGTGTAGCAATTAATATGGAAATAGATTGCTTCAAAACATTGTGTTTTTTTAATGCTGCATTCAAATGCGAGAGACAAAAATGGAATAATCAAGGCTTTGTTTCAGAAATAGTTTTTCCTGTTCCAAGAAAGTGGCAAGTCATCACCATCCATTCAGACATAGTAATGGCTCACATGTAAGGACGGCTGCCTTTCTCCTAAAAGACAAAGTGTGAGCTTGTCGGCCCTCTGGCAACATGTGTTTCTTCCAACTACCTCATCTACGGTTGGCACTGTCAAAACATCAACATAATAAAACACAGCACAGTCACATCTGCCAGTGAAAAGGAATAGCTCCGCTGGCACCGGCCCCACTCCTGTAGCTTTGTGAAGGTTTTAAAAAGTTAATTATGAATTGGAGACATGTGGTTGAACACTTTCCAAACATATTTTGCCTCTCGCTGCCATTCTCTCTCTTTGCTTCATCCTCTTACCAGTACTGTCTTTTTCTTCCAGCCCTGTTCTATTTCTCCGCCGCGGTAATCTTCCTCAGGCTCCTCAATTATGTGTCCATGGGCAGGAAGAACCATTTGCTCCTGCTTGAATACCCTGAATAGCAATAACGTTGCTTCAAAAACACATTACCAAACACAATTACAGCAGACAATGCTTCTATAACCTGCAAGGCCACTAACTCACAGCCTTGTAAACACTGGTGAATGAAGTTTATTTTCTGTCTTCGCTGACATTGTTCTTTTTTCCTTTATCATATAATGCATGTGTTTTTCTCCTAAGAGTAATATTTAATGTATGTTATTGGCTGAAATGTGAGGGGAATGAAGGCTTATGGTACAAAAGTAAAGTAACAGCCCTCTGGTCGGATGTTTAACAGCTTTTTCATGCACTTGCTGTTTGTAGATGAATTGCCTTTCGGTTGGCCTGAGGATACCAAAGCTGAGTTTTTTTTATTGGTTCACCTGGCGCCTATAAAAGTCACTGGTAGGCTGTTACTGTGTCAGTGACAAACGGCTGATTCACCATCATCTACTGACTAATCCAATGCACCAAGAGAGAGAGCGAGAAGGCCTGAGAGCTTCATCTCCTTCACACACCCTTCTCTAGTAAAACACTCCAAACACAGCCCCGGGCTGCGCAGGAAGCGGAGAATATTAAGTATACACTCTGATACTCTTCTCGCTTTGTCTGGAAGTGTTGGAGAACTGAAGCTATGAGTGTAAGTGGGAAATCATTATGAAAAGAGTGGTATACTAATTACACACGTTTAATGTGTAAATCCTTTGTTCCTTTTGACACAGAAATGGCGTGTTCACACATTATGACTAAAGCAACACCACGATATGCTGAACAGGGAGAGTACAGTGTGTAGATAAAGGTACTAAATACTAAAGGTATTTCTCATGGACAGCGTCAGAGCTTTTAGAAAAATAGACTTTCCACACAAACTACTTATTTTACTTTGTAGTGGCTTTACTGTGTTAGTCTTGAAAATAAGAATAATAACTTTCTTACAGCCTTAGGTCTATGTAACTTATTCACTTTTAAAGAGTATCTTGCAGGTTTTTATTTATTCTACATTTATGCTTAAACTTGCTTGAAAATTACAATTAAAAAAGTGAATGCAGGATTTGATATGTTTTACGAGACATAAGGGCAGGAATTCAGAGGGAAAGGAGCAATTTGAGCTCTGCTCTTAAAAACGACTTTTTTTAAGGTCATACGTCAAACGCGTCATATTACATCACGCAGGGGAAACATCTCCGCTCTCTGACCGCGGGTATAGTAGAGTTGCGTTGAGTAGAGCGGTTGTGTTTTAAGGAGCTGGTATTTTTCGGTAGTTTTACATTGTGTTTCACCATTTGTAATCATGGTGCAGTATTGTGTTTGTGCAGGTTGCACAAATACCAGCCTGTCAGGACATCGAGTCCACAGTAAAAAGGACCGGAGTTAGCGTTCGTTCCTTGGTGCGTTGTGCATCCACCTCCCTGCAGCACATACTCTCCACAGCTTTATCAGGAAACCGTATTACTTCTCTCTCCCCCCCCTGCTGCTCCAGCCGTCTCCTTTGTGTTTGTTCGTTTCCCCCTGTCTGTGTTGTTTGTGTGTGCGTGGTGGCTGTCACTCCTGGCTCCCGGCTCAACCTCCACTCACCTGCTCAACCTCCACTCACCTGCTGCAATCAGCTGTGCACCCTCCCCGACTACACACCTGCTTTCCATCAAGCCATTTACAACGACATATCAACGGAGGCTCCACAACCTTTCTCCGCCAGATCGTCAAGTATCAGCCGTATCTCGCGTCTCTCCTCCGGTACACAGCACCGTAGTGNTCACCTTTTTTGCGGGTCACCCGTCGGATACCCGCGGATACCCGACCCGATGCAGGACTCTGCCGTAGTGTGGAGTTGCATTAGGTAACGCGAGATACGGCTGATACTTGCGCATTAGTTTCTGTTATGGATCAGTATCAACAATACTGCCAGTAAATTTACTATATAATCAATGCTACTTTAGTTATAGCCTAATATATGATAGCTAACTTCACAATGTTGTGATGTGACGTTAGCTAACATTCTGTAGCTAACGCCGGTCACTCACCAAGATAGCTGCCCAGTTCTCCACTGGTTCTCCTCACACCACATCTCAATTTCTCTCCGATGGCCGTTATTTCTTCTAATCCTTGGCTGCTCCTGGTCTCTTGGACGCCTAGCAGGCTCATAATTATAAGGTTGTGGTCCGTCATATGCATTCGAATATTCATGTTCAACTCCTTCTGTGTCTTCTGTGTCAAAACTAGCATTGGGATCCATGTTTATTAATACGTTACACCGGCCGTTCTCCCCCTTGTTTCCCCCGTGTTACGTCACACGCGGGAGGTCACGTGCCGAGGCTTTTTTATGCGGAAGTGAACATTTCTTACAAAAACGACGCCAGATGTCACTGTAGTGTATATTTCTGTATATTTTTTTGAAAATCTAGTGTATTCATCATTTTCCTACACATTTATTCACAGGTGTCTTTAACCTGGAAGTTGCTCTTTAAGTCTTCTGAAGGTTAAAAAAAGTTTTTTTTTTCAATCTGCTCTGATTGGTCAACTGGCCGGCTCCGCTTTGATTGGTCAACCTCTTACAGATACACGCTTCTTAGCCTATCACGGTCTATTTAGTCAGAACCGGGTAACAGGGGTGCTGTGCTCTCTTACATTCAGCTTGTGCCATCATACCAAAGTGATGCCAGAAAACAATATTTCTGTTCGTCAAAAACTGTATACAAAAAAAATATTTATGAAAATCGTGTCAAATAGACCGTCAGACGACGTATGCAGCTTCGTATACGTCCGCTGCGCCATCTTGTATACGGGCGCCATGTTCTTGCAAGAATTGATATATCTTATGGCGCGTTTCCACTGCAGCGCGGAGCTCGCTTTAAGCGTGCCGAGCCGTGCTGGGCCCGTTTTTGGTTGAGTTTCCACTTGGCCTAATACCGGCTAGCGGGTCGTAATTCATAGTTTTTCTGGCCCCATAAAATCGTGGTTCTAGGGCCAGGAACAACCAGGCTGAGTCGGGCTGAGTATGCTAAACTAGAGAGAGAATCGCTGGCAAGGGGGCTACAACTACAACAAGATGAACATATTTGACCGTGATTTAATTGTAATACACGTTTCAAAATGATGCCGAAGTAACAACATACTGATACCGGTTAGTAAAAACCATGAATTAATGCTTTGACAAGTCTGCAGACAGACGGCAGGCGAAAAACCTTTTAAAATGCGTGTTGTCTAAATGGAGATTGGCTAAGCTAACGTTGTATATGCTCCGACCGTCCACACTCACAACAACGGCCTA